CGGATAAAATGTGGTCGGCGGGGTAGGCCAAAAGTGGGCCATGCCAACAGGTTTTGGCATTACAACGGTCCAGGACATTTCAGTTGGGACGAAGTGGAAAACACAACAAATGATGCTGCTGAAGACGTGCCACCTGAAGAAGCCACCGTCAAAGAAGAAACTCTACTCAGTTTTGAGAAGGGAAACGGTGAAGCTCTTGGTGAAGTTACTACCACTGATGTGACTGTTACCGATGATGGGACATTTACTGATGAAGCAGATGAACCCCACATGAAGCAGAAGCCAATGAGACGGAGACCAGTACGGAAGAAGATACGTCCCGTAAAATTAAGAGACTTTGTTGAATTGTAATTTTGTCTTTGTAATTCTGTACAGTTAATTAAGTTATTGTTAATTGTTATTGGTTTATAATATGTGGTTATTGTTCGGGACGAACAATATTAAGGAGGGGGCAGTGTTGCGTCAGCGAGTCACATGACTGGTGTGACGCCACGTTTCTAGAACTATCCCGTACCTTGGCGAATGCTCTAGTATTTACTAGATATATGGTAGGCTGGTATATAAAAGAGGGTGACAACGTGACGGGAGGATAATGTAATGTGTGTGTAGATAGTGAGTAATAAAACTGCAGTCACAGGGTATTGTTGAAGTTAACGTTCGTTCGTCATAGTGTTTGTTTGAGCGCGAATATTGAAATTAAGTGTATCGTAAAGTTGTATTCGGAAAGAATAAACCAGTTTTATTAAGTAAGGACTTGTGTCCCTAATTTTCGTCGGAAACGAAGTTGCGGAAAGTTAATTAACAAACGGAGACGTAACAATAACATAATAGCCAAGTAAGTTAAATTTAGACTCTTAGTGTTACCATTACTTTTAACTAATTATTAAGTTTGTTTTTCTAATACAATTATTTTAACAATAAAATTTAACACTTCATTGTACCCACCCTATTGTAACTAGATTTTCGAAATGTTTGACTAACATTTTTCATATCTACCAAGCTGATTAACATACAGTTCTTTTTCACCAAAACGAATTGAAACAATGATTCTAAGTTAACAGTAACATATCGAACGCCATGCTTAATACTAATAGGCCTAACTCCTATGGCCTGTTACATCGAAATGACTTCTGTCCCGAATATAAATGAATTTAAGTTTTGAACTCACAATGTCTCCCAGAACTCTTCTGAAGAATTTCAAACTAGTAGAAGTTAAATGGTTATCTGGATATCAAGTTTTAATATAAGAGTATAGTAAAGTGAGTAATGGGTGTTAAACTAAAGCCACGTACATTATAATAGATATAGTAAGTGTTACAAAACATAACAACTACGAACAATTACAGTATTTAGCATGATAGTTGAAAATGTACGAAAGAGATCACGCGATGAGAGCAGCGACATCATCAGAAAACAAAGTAAGGGAAGTTAAATAGTGTTAATACATTTTTAGTTACCCATTTAAAGCTGTTTTGTTTTGTAATTTAGTGTCGATTAAAACTGTTTAATTTTAAACGCAAAAAGTAGTAATAATAAAACATTTTATTTTAATTGTTAAAGTACGCATAATGGTTTTAATTTACTTTTTGTGTCGTATCGTACATTTCTGTACTTAGACGTTATTCATAAAACATAGTTATCACTTTACATTCACACGTTTTCTTCCTTTCATTATCATAGGATAGTACTAAGTTGATTAGATTGCAGCGTATTCCCAAACAGTGTTCCACGAGATAATTTTATGTAGTCGAACGAAGTAAAGGAGCAGGCTAGGTATAGGAATGGCTCAAAAGCTCGTCAACCCGTAAATCGTACCACCCTCTATTCCCTTTGTCATAGGCTATTTCATTTATGGGCGGAGTCTAATTGATGACTCGCTGTAAGTTAATCGCTAGTGGTAGTCGAGTGCAGTGTTTCAAGAAAGCAACAAACTAGTCTGAGTTTGTGAATATTTCGTAACATTACAAAATTACAGTGATTTCAAGTATTGATACTACTTAGCTAAAAAAGTTGGCTAAAAAAGGGAACTTTAAAACGAAAAACAAGTTATTTTATTATATTAGCTGCGGCATGGATATATTAACGCACGTGAATAAGATAAGTAATAATACCCAGGTGCACACCCTCAGGGTCCACTTAGTATGTGTGCAAAATTTCAAGTTTCTGAGTTCTATTATTAAAACTAGTGACGTTTGTTAGATGAGAGCTATAGTGTTCAATGAGACATGTTTAGCTCCCATATTTGTTGTTTTCAGAATTTATAGTACATACTGGCAAAGGCTTTCAAGTGTTCTTGTGTGAATTTTTAGTTTTCATGAAAACGACTTTTAGAATGTTACTCAAATTCAGCAGGTGAATTGTAATTATTGTTAATTATATTTAAGTCATTTGCAAATCAGATTTATAGGTAAGAAATAACAACATATCATCCTTCATTCTGTTCTCTTATCCAACATGCATGTGAAGTCTTCTGATTGCTCACTCATGGACTTCTGTGCATTTAATTGGCTTAAACAGTAACAGTTCTGTGGGAAGTCTGTCAAGGTATTGTTTAGCCTAAAAGTATATTTCCTGCCCTTCGCATAAGTTTTTACATCGGAAGTTAGGGTAACAAACGAAAGTGTTTAGACACAGCTATCAAACAGAAATATGATCAACATCGTCAGAAGAGTTTTTTAACATTTCTAATTTGCATAATAGTGATTGGAACTTAGTACACATAATTAGAAATAAATGAAACAGCTATGAACTCCAAAGAATCTTGCAAGTTATTTTATTTGCTCAACATTTGGGTTTTACGGATTCACCAGGAGTCAGGCAATTCTGTAATAAACCCCGTGATTCAGTTTAGCAATGGTTTTAATATTGTTATTCCCAATCGAACTATAATATAGTTACATTTTGAACTTTTTTGTATCAATCTGAGAACAAATATTGAATATTCTCAAACTCAGAATCACATATTTTATTTTTTAATTTAATTTTTGTACTGGTAAGGTGAATATTGCCGGAGAGTGAAAATATTACAGCAGATATTTCAATGATTGATTTTCTAATTATGTTACTAATTACAAACTGTTATATTTTGATTGAAATTTGAATCTTCAGAATTAGGATTTAGATTCTTATTAAACAATCGTAATTTTTATATAAAAGACTTAACATGCTGAGGAGGGAGGTGATGACTAGCTGCCTTCCCTCAAGCCTTGCACTGCTAAATTAGGGATGGCTAGCACAAATAGCCCTCGTGTAGAATTGCGCGAAATTCATAACAAACCATCCTTGTTTGTATTAACAGTTTCAAACGCTTCACTTCTAGATACCATCGTCATACGCAGAACTCGAGATAACGCCTCTAATAAATCGTCTGAGAGCTTGATAAATAATTGTTCGTTGCCATGCATGAAATATGGAGAACTATGATTACTTTACTGAGGCTTTCTTCAGAGCCTCCTATACATCTTTGTTTAGTTTTAGGGTAATTATTTTCGTTCTTCCGAAACAGACACGGTTAGGCTGCGGACAGAAAGTCTGAGGTTCGACTATCGATACGTCATTCATTTCAAAGAGCCAAACAGAATCTTTGTAGTGATGAGAGTTTAAAATTATGGATGGTGATTTTGAATTCCAGGGATCTCGGATCTAGTCGTTTATTCCATATGCCTCAAAAGATGGGTTCAGTTTGAACGTTCTACTTTCTACCTTCCGTTCCTTTAAATTTTTTACTGTGCATATAAGTTGCTTACTTGAGCTTTGAATATTTATTTCATAAGTTAGATAACGACTTAATTAAAAAGTTTCTTAAGAATACAATGCAACCGAAATACGTTTTAGTATAACGATTTTCAATACATTGCCATTTTGCTTTTTTTTATTTACTGTATTGATTTTCACTAAATTCAGCACAATAAGCTCATTTTGCATAGCGCAACATTTGTTCTAAAATAGAAACAGATTCGTCTCTCAGTAGGTCAGCGATAACTTTTTGGACTTACAACGTTAAATTCCGAGGTTCGATTTCCCGCTGTTAGCCCAATGTGGGTTTTCTCTAAAACAAAGTCACTATTGACACATCGACGTTTATAGATTGACCAGACGTCCCGGTTTCGCCAGGATAGTCTCGTTTTTTTGGTAGTTTGTCTCGGAACATTAAACTGTCAGTCACATCGAATCACGAATGTAATGAGCCTACTTGACTTGCTGATTGTCGAAACACACTTTACACAGTCTTGTACTGAATTTCATGACTATTTGATGAGAAAAACAAAACTTCCCAAAAAATGTGTCTGAAAAGTTTCAAAGTAATGTTCAAACCTTAAAGTAGTATGTTTTAAAATGTTATGGATTGTTAAATAAATCCAAGTATGAAGTAGCCTATTTTATGATGAAGTGGATAAAGTGAATAATTAAAGATTTCTGGCTGTATAATTTGACCATTTTTGCTCATTTGTTCTGTGTCTTTCCCCCCTAAAAGTAGTTGAAATTATTTCAAAACCAATGCCGATGTCAATATATTTGCACATATTGTGGGCCAGTTTAATAAATTTAACGTAAATAAAAGTTAAATAATTTCAAATTTGTAATAACCATTTGGAAATTAAGAGCAACAGCTGAGTTATCGCGGAGTTTCGGTTAGGAAATCTGGTCACCCTAAGATCAGCGAATATCAGTTGCCGAACGTAGACATTTCTTTATCTTAAGGCCAATGGACATCATCTAATGTGTTAATGAGAACATGATTTTTTTCCAGTGATATTGATATATTTTTCGACATAACTTTTATTTTCTTTAGTATTTCATTTAAAAATGAACTACCAATGAAAATCGCACAGAAAGCAAATAACAACAAAAAATTATCAGTTTGTTTTTAATTAAGCACAAAGCTATGCAATGGGCTATCTGTGCTCTGACCACCACTGGTATCGAAACCCGGATGCTAGTGTTGTAAGTCCGCAGACATGCCGCTGTGTCACTGGGAGCAAAAATTATCACACGCACTATGACAAACACTTGTGCAATTTTAATATTTCAAAATTTTTTGCGGATTTCCATAAAAAAATTCAATAACCTGATAACTCCAGGATTTTTTTGAGACAAAGCGTACGTAGAGTTATAGTATCAAAGATTTATTAATAGCTAATTTTATATATCACATTTTCGTTAGAAATTCTAGTTTCTTGTTAATTATTTTTTCAGGGGATGTGGGTTTTTATACGGAGGACAAAAATTTTTATTTGGTGGACAGAATCAAAGAGCTTATCAAGTATAAAGGCCACCAGGTAGCACCAGCAGAGTTGGAGCTTTTGTTAATGAAACACCCAAGTATTTGTGACGCTGCTGTTGTGGGGGTGCCAGATCCAAGGGTTGGAGATCTTGCACGTGCCTTTGTTGTCATTAAACCTTCTCATGACGATATTACACCACAGTGTGTTCAGGAATTCATTGCAGGTATCACATAATTCACTTCTATATTAAGTAATGTACAGGGTGGGCCATAATGAACCTCCAATAACGGAAAACGAAAGCACAATTAACAGAACATACCTTTCTCAATTATCACTGATGTAGTTCTAACAGTACAGATGTTCAAAGTGTCTACCACCATTATGAAGACATGGGTGACATCTATCGACAATTAACGTACACTAGGTATGGATATAAAGTATCTTTATTAGGAGGTTTGCCATGGCCCATTCTGTAATCTACACAGGTTTAGAACCAGCAGAGCTATTTCGAATCCAGTATTTGAAAGTTTGAAATTTGCTGATGAACTCCGATTCTATGTTTTAGAGGAATTTAGTTTTATCAAATAACTGAATAAAACGCTGGTGTTAATTTAACAAAATGCAACCAGGATAAATGTATATATATATATATTAATCCATTATTCTTAGAGATCAGGTTGGGTGGAGTTTTAGTCACGTGACTTTGACCCTCAGAGGAACAAGCCATTTCCAAAGGTAAAAGATTTGTGCAGTGGACTCATGTACTGTCCTGTGGCCTTCTCTCTCTCTCTTTTCACTTTCACTTTTGTTGCTTCGACTGGTAAACTTCGAATTGAAATGACATATTTTGTAAAGGGACGCCAAACAGTTAAATATGTTGCTTGACACTACATAAAATATAAAATATGTTGTTGTTTTTCCCGACCAAGATAGAATCAGTACACTCATACTGACTATATATATTACACTTTATCATTTTCATACAGAGCACGTGGCCTCCTACAAGCATCTCCACGGTGGCATAGAGTTCGTCGATCACATCCCTCGTAATGCGAGCGGGAAAATTCTACGCCGAAAACTACGAGCCAAGATCTTCCCGAAATAGGGACGATTCTTTCTGGAAACGAGAAATCTCCAATTAAAATCTAAAAAAAAACAACAACTTAGTAATCTAAATTAGTATGGAATTAAATTTGACAAGTTATGGGATAATATTGATTTTTGTTTTATCTGCATTTAAAATATACTAAATGTGTATGAATATTTAGTTATATATTATATTAATAATGACACTGGGCTTAAAATACGAGAAAAAACGTTTCAATATACACTTTAGTAAATACTTACCTTGGAGCCCCCCAGTGGCACAGCGGCATATCTGCGGACTTACAACGCTAGAATCCGGGTTTCGATACTCGTGATGGGCAGAGCACAGATAGCCCATCTTGTAGCTTTGTGCTTAATTACAAACAAACTTACCTTGGGTTAATGACAACAGAACTAGGTTTCTTCTCTTAGGATTGGTTGTTTTACTGTCACGTGACTTTTATTGAAATAGACATACTCTAATGTTTTCTCATTGAAGAAAATAATCAAAAAAAAACATTTGTTTTGATTCAATACACCATTCTCTATCAGTAAAGAACAGGAGACACTATTTTTTATATCATAACTTGTTGATAAATAAATATAAAAGTTTTGTTACTATAACTATTTAAGAACAAATATGATCTGATTAATTTTTTTCTAGTTAGTCGTTTTGCTTTTTGATACAAAAAATGTACGATTTCTTTAAAGGTTGTTAACAATGGGAAATTCTTTTGTAGTTCGATTGACGTATGGCCACTGAACAATTTGATTTGAAAGATATTAACCATATGAATAACAATTACTTTGAAGATGTTTTTTATTATTTCTTTCATATATTTTTGGAGTTTTAAGTTAATGCAATTGTTATTTATGATGGGATTGTATTAAATGATAATTTCAGTGTTATGATTATTATTATTATTGAAATTAAACTTCATTACACAATACCTCTCCAGGTTTTGTTTCTCTACCAAAAAGATGTTACCCGTTTTAGTGTTTGTCATCTGGATTTAGGATTGGCTGTTTCAATTACTTTAAAACATAAAAATGGCTATTTGTTGCACTAATTAGTATACGAAAAGCTTTACGACTTAGATAAATCTCAATTTAGGATGAGAACCAGAGCCTACTAGGATGAGACCCAGGGCCTAGTTTCATGAAAATTTAAGATCTTTCTCGAGTTCATTCTTAGCATGACTTGGTGGTTAGGGTGCTCTAATCGTAATCTGCATGTCACAGGTTCGAATCCCCGCTAACAAACATGCTTGCCCTTTATGTATGTGGAAGTTATAATGTGACGATCAATCCCACTATTCGTTGGCAAAATAATAGCTCAAGAGTTGGCAGTGGGTGGTGTTGACTAGATGCCTCCTCTCTAGTTTATCACTGCTAAAGTAGGAAGGGCTAGCGCAAATAGCCCTCGAGTAGTTTTACGCGAAATTCAAAACAAACCACATTTAAGAACTTCAACCGACGTTCGAATTTCTTAAGATATTTCATAAGCTGTTTCACAAATCTATGTCAGGAATGTCTTGGCTAAGTACGACTTAATTAAGAATAATATAAAATACTTTAATATCTGATACTGGAAACAGCGCTTGCTCGAAAATTAAGACCACAGTAGGCTTAACGCTACGTGTACACCAGTAACGATTTCACGTCATAGCTATTGGACACTTTATCAGAGTGGAAAGTACACTTAAAACCGTTCAAAGTCAGTATCTAAAGATTGACGTCATAACTATTGGACACTTTATCGGAGTGGAAAGTACACTTAATACCGTTCAAAGTCAGTATCTAAAGAGTGACACGATGGGCTATCTGTGCTCTGCCCACCACGGGTATCGAAACCCGGATTCGAGCGTTGCAAGTCCGCAGACATACCGCTGTGCCAC